TAACATGCTAAACAATAAACCAGGCTTTTCAAACCAGAATGTCTGCATTAAAACACACACACACAAACACACACACAAAACTTAAACCAAATAAGGCACATTATGGCTATCCATGTTGTATAAAACAGCCATTCAAACAGGGATCAATATTTATAAACTGTTCCTTCGTATTACAAAAATTACATCTACAACTTATGGATGACCCTAGCCACAGGAAATGTGGTAAAATCCTGTCCTCTGGCTTCGAAAAATGCTGTTAAATAGCTTGCCAAGTGCTTACATTTGCACCAAGTAATCACTTGGCAGATGGCTGTCTCTTGAAAAACCTTGCTCAAATTAGCTTTCACTGAGTTAAGGATTCTGGGCATCAATGAAGGAAATATCTTTACAGTATGAGCTCTCTTCATGTTGAAAAAGATACGAAGACAGCATTTTATTTTTTAAAAAAAGACTATTTTAAGACACTTTAAAGAATCTTAATATCAGTCCAATTACTCTCAGCAAGCAAGCTAATCAGTTGGACATGAAAAAATATTAAGAGTATGGCAGGAAATGCATACACATCATTTATAAGGAAGCAACATTTTTGGTTGGCCCTTGTTCAGCCTCACTTATTTAATGTCCTTGATCATTTGCCAGTTATGAGTAACGTTAATGCAATGTCAATCCTAGTGTAAAGATAGCCTTTCACTACCTTTTTTGTACTAAACGGTAGAGTTAGGGTGCAAGCAAATGGATCAGATCCCTCTAAAGCATTTATTTTAAACCCTCATTCTATAAATCATCTTATTCTACCCTCCTAACATTGATAGTGATATGTTAAACCCAAGTAGTAAAATGGCAGCCCAACAGTGTGCTAGTGTTTAAATCAGTTTAATCCTACTGATTTGATATCAACACCACTAACATACAACTGGCATAATTTAGACAGATCCCTTTTCTTTTTTTAAAAAAATTCTTAGTGCACTGGTTTAACTCTAATGAGAATCAATGTGATTGGCTATGATGGTGGTCCAATCCTTCTGGCTACATATATAAGCAATAGGAAAAGGAAGAGGGCAAGACAAGAAGCAATGGGTGGAAGATTGACATCCAACCTGGAAATAAGGAGGAAATTTCTGACAATAAGAATGATCGATCAGTTGGAACAGCTTGCTTCTTGTGGGTGCACCATCAAATATTTCACAGGCATTTCTCCAGATTTTTATAAGGACTCCTGACTTGGGCAAAGGATTGGACTACATAGAAGACCTGAGGTCCCATCCAGCCTTGTTTACAAACAGAAAGATTTGCTAAAATGAAAATACTAGAGAAGATTGCTAATACAATTAAGATTTAAATCATTTAAAGAAGTTGAATATTGAATTCCTTCCCAAGAAAGAAATGAGTGGAAAGATTCACTAAAAACAATTATGCAAAATTTTTATATGGATTTCATCTATTTTCTGAGGCCTTCTTGTTCAAAGACCAAACTTCACTAATCAATTTTCATAGGGCTTTTTCATTCATTAGCTAATATTTAAAACACCACATTGTGATTCCAAAAATATTTATGATTTATTCATACTGCTTGTTATATGAAGACATAACCATATTTTATGAAGTGTAATGGCTGAATCCACAAAAGCCATAAGTCAAACCCAAACAAAGAAGAGTGTGGCTTAGCGCAATATGTGATTTCAGCTTGTAAAACCTAATAACTGCCTACATTATAGTCTGGTTTTTGACAAACTGGAGAATTTCTCTCATGTTTCTTATGATGCAGAAACAAAAAATGATCTGTACATACAGATTATGTTCACACAAATGCTTAACATATCTTTGAAAAATATAGCACATGTATTATATGCTATTGTAAACCATCCAGTGTCAGTTGTATGTGTGTATGTGTCTAGATAGATAGACTGATAGATACGGAGATATAGATATATATACTATAGATATTGATACGATTAAGCAAATGCATTGTTTTTCCCTTTTATTATATAGTTATAAGTCTTGATAATTTTATTTCAGTGCAATATATAATATAAAATTAATAAAAATTAACATATTTCTTAAAAAGATTAAGATGTTGAAAATGGAGAAATGTAAATGAATATTAATTATGATTTAGGATGTCAATATTTCAAGCATAAATTATTTAGCTTCTTATACAAAATTAAGCATATAAAGGAGAAAAAGCACTGCAGCTTATATTACACGATAATAGTTTCAATCTTAAGCTAATTATTTAGTATTAAAATACCTACAGTGTGTTATAATTTATATACCTACAGCCATACAAAGAAAGAGTGTTGGCAAAAAGGAAAGAGGATAATCAAAGCATGTTTAATAAAAGTTAAAATATCTGAAAATAAAATGAGGAAATAGTAGGTATATGCATTATTTTAGTAGACAAGTCACCAGGTAAAGAAAGCATAAGTTCTGGTGTGCAGTTGTGTTGGAACAAATCAACTAATAAAACTCTTCAAAAGTACTAGGACTTCTGAGTTGTCCTTAGTGTTTGGATTCATGCACCACTGACTGAACCATAATATGGATTGTTTTGGTTTAAGTCTGTTGCATGAACAAAACTCTTGTTTATGAATCATTGCTTCCATATCAGAAGATATGGAGAGAACTGGCCCATAGAATTGCCAAGATTCAAGACACAGCTGAATGGATAGCATAATCATCATCACTTACAACTTAGTGCTTTATTCAGTAAACTATGATTTAGGAAAAGTATTGTGTGAAAAGAAACATGTCATAACTTAATGATGTTTCTCTCTACAGCACTCCATAGCTGAAAAAGATAATGGCATTACAGTATATATGTGGCTTGCTTATTTGAGGTTATAAGTTGTGTGATTTTAGATAGCATTATTTGCAGTAGTGGGATTCAAAAAAATTTACTACGGGTTCTGTGGGTGTGGCTTGGTGGGCCTGGCAGGGGAAGGATACTGTAAAATCTCCAGTCAGAGGTGGTATTTGCCAGTTCTCCAAACTACTCAAAATTTCCACTACTGGTTCTCCAGAACTAGTCAGAACCTGCTGAATACCACCTCTGATTATTTGGGTTGTGCAATGTCAGGCAATGGCATTTAATAAAGAATGGGAAACATGATGTGAACAGGTTTAGAACAAGGATATTTTGGAGATAGAAGTAGCAAGCTGTCTGATTGGGCTCTTTGTTTTCCTTTGAAAAACATTTTCTTTGAGAAAATGAAAAGATATATTTTGTTATAGCAATAGGACTTATATTTTACTGTACTTGATAGTGCTTTACAGCACTCTGAGTGGTTTACAATGTCAACATATTGTCCCCAACAATCTAGGTCCTCATTTTACCAACCTTAGAAGGATGAGAGGCTGAGTCAACTTTGAGCCTGTCAGGATCGAATTCCTGACTATGAGCAGAGTTAGCCTGCAATACTGTATTCCAACCACTGCGCCATCAGGGTTATAGTTTCCTAATACATTTTCTAATACTTTATAAGAAAGTAGCAGGATAAAACAATTCCTATGCCACCCCTTTTTTTCTTGAAACGATGGAGAATAGCTAGCATTATTAATATTTTGCTTTCAGTATCACCTAATCATGGAAGCATATATCTGAAATTACTTTCAGCAACAGACCTTTGTCCAATTTCAGCTATCAAGGGATATCAAACTTGGAAAGTGGTGTAGGGCAGTCTGTCAAATTTTCACGGGGTAGAGGACAATAACATCTTCATTCACCACCATACCCCAAATAAATGGATTTGACAACTAATGTAAATTTGGCCCACTCATCTGCTCCTAAACCTTCTCAGGGTGACTGAAGTGTATAGGAGTTTGTTTCTAGAATGATATTTCTCAACTTTGGCAACCTTAGGATGTTTGGACTTGGTCTCCCAGAATTCCTCAGCCAACTGCCCAGAAACATTATATTAAGAGTGTACAAAAATCAATAATCAGGACAGTCTTTAGCAACAGAAACGTGTTGGACTCCATCTCCCCCTGTGGCCAATTTGTGCAGCCACTGGCTACATCTATCTATGTCCCAAAGCCAATTAATTTTCAAAAACAACCTTGCATCCAAACAGCCACCCACATTGCCTTTGCTTGCACCGGCCCTGCGTTCGCATTTTATTTCTAACCATTCTCACTACCGCCTCCATTTTCGAAACCCCACATTTTGGTTCATTTCATGAAAACTCAGCCCGTGCTCCTTGCCGTTTCTCTTCAGCTGCTTTTGTAAAGTTTTGTCTGTTTCAAAGTGAACAGCCTTTTTTTACTCTTGTTTTTCAAACTTGGCAACTTTTTAAGATGCGCGGACTTCACCTCCCACATTTCCCCTGGGAGTTGGGAGTCCACAATCTGAAAAGTTGCTGAGCTTGTTGGTTTATATCCCTTGACAAATGCCTTCACCTCAAATGCAACTGTCCAGCGTCAGTTTGAATTCATCAAGAATTAAATTAATCCAGCACCATCGGTTGTCGACAGACTCTTTTTAGCCCGACTAAAAATAATTTCTCTCCACCAGGCAAAGTCATCCACTGAGGACTTTTGCCGGGGAGGGGGAGGGAAGGAATGGGGGGGGGGGGCTCAGATCCCCCTCCTTCCCGGTGTGCTTTTGGCACCTTCCTTCCTTGGAAATCTCCTTAGCAACGCCGATGCTTCTCGTCCTACCTAACCTGACACGTCACGGCGCGTTAGGGGGACAGTTAAAACACGTCTGGAGATCGGGCGGGATAACAACCCCTGGCCAACCGCGGAGACGGGAACTGTAGCCTTCCTGCCATGCGTCCCGCGCAGGAATCCGTCCCCTCGGGGCTTTGCGTGAGCGTCGCAAGGGTTAATCCTTCCGGGCAGCCGAAAGGGGGAGGAGGGGAGAGAAAGGGGGCGCTGTTGTCAAGGCGACGGCTCGGAGTGTTCCGGATCGTACCATTGCGCAGGCGGCGCAGGGAGGTGTGGTGCAGCCCAACCAGGCCCAGCCCAGCCTCCTCCTCCTTCTCCCCCCCCCCCGGCTCGAACGCGGCGCCGGGGCCCGGCAGGCAGCGAGCGAGTCGGAACCTGCCGACCGGAGGAAGAGAGCGAGAGGCGGATCCCGGGAACGGAGGCAGCGGCGGCAAGAGTCGCAACTCGGCGGCGGGCCGTCCTCGTCTCGCCCGCCCCGGCTGGGAGACAAAGGAGGAGGGAAAAGGCGGCAGCAGAGCTCCGAGGACGGAGTCGCCCGCGGGGCTGAGCACGATGCGGCGTGGGGCCGCCCGAGGCCGGGATCGAGGCGGCTGCGCGGCCTGCCTGGCGTGGCGCGGCTAGAGGAGGAGGAGGAGGCGGCGGCGCGAGGGCGGCGGCGCGGCCGAGGCCCGACGGACTTTTCTTCGGCCGAGCCCGCCCTGGCGGCGGCGATGTGAAGGCCGGGCCCGGGCGAGGGCCGGAGGGCGAGCGCGCCGAGGCTGGGTCGAGCGGCGCAAGGACGCCGGGCCCGAGGCGCCGCGCGGCGGAGGCGATCCGGGCCCGGGCGATGGAGACGCACGTCTCGTGCCTGTTCCCGGAGCTGCTGGCCATGATCTTCGGCTACCTGGAGGTGCGCGACAAGGGCCGGGTGGCGCAGGTGTGCACGGCCTGGCGGGACGCCGCCTACCACCGCTCGGTCTGGCGGGGCGTGGAGGCGAAGCTGCACCTGCGCCGCGCCAACCCGTCCCTTTTCCCCAGCCTGGCCGCGCGGGGCATCCGCCGGGTGCAGATCCTGTCGCTGCGGCGCAGCCTGAGCTACGTGATCCAGGGCATGGCGGAGATCGAGAGCCTCAACCTGAGCGGCTGCTACAACCTCACCGACAACGGGCTGGGCCACGCCTTCGTGGCCGAGATCGGCTCCCTGCGCGCGCTGAACCTCAGCCTCTGCAAGCAGATCACCGACAGCAGTTTGGGCCGCATCGCCCAGTACCTCAAAGGCCTGGAGGTGCTGGAGCTGGGCGGCTGCAGCAACATCACCAACACGGGCCTCCTGCTCATCGCCTGGGGCCTCCAACGCCTCAAGAGCCTCAATCTGCGATCCTGCCGCCACCTGTCCGATGTGGGCATCGGGCACTTGGCTGGCATGACCCGGAGCGCAGCCGAGGGGTGCCTGGGGCTGGAACAGCTGACGCTGCAGGACTGCCAGAAGCTCAGCGACCTCTCCCTCAAGCATCTGGCCAGGGGTCTCACACGCCTGCGCCAACTCAACCTCAGCTTTTGCGGGGGGATCTCAGATGCGGGGCTGCTGCACCTGTCACACATGAGCAGCTTGCGCACGTTGAACCTACGCTCCTGTGACAACATTAGCGACACAGGTATCATGCACCTGGCCATGGGCAGCTTGCGCCTTTCAGGCTTGGACGTCTCCTTTTGTGACAAAGTCGGAGACCAAAGCTTGGCCTACATTGCACAGGGCCTGGATGGCTTGCGCTCTCTCTCCCTTTGCTCTTGCCACATCAGCGACGAGGGCATCAACCGCATGGTGCGCCAGATGCATGGACTGCGCACCCTCAACATTGGCCAGTGCGTCCGCATCACTGACAAAGGCCTGGAGCTTATCGCTGAGCACCTTAGTCAGCTCACGGGCATTGACCTTTATGGCTGTACCCGCATCACTAAAAGAGGCCTGGAGCGTATCACTCAATTGCCCTGCCTCAAGGTGCTCAATCTGGGACTCTGGCAAATGACTGAGAGTGAAAAAGTAAGGTGAGACGAGGGGACACCTGGAGAGCCCCATCCCGCCGGAAGGATTCACCAACTGACTGCTGCAGTAGAGGAAAGTGGAGGTGGGGGAGGCGGTGGCCCTCCCAAGAGGGGTTTGCGGGAGGGAAAGCATCTTTCAGTCTTCCATCCTTCTGAGGTTGGTAAACTGAGGAGCCAGATTGTTGGGGGTAATATGCTGACTCTGTAAACCGCTTAGAGAGGGCTGTAAAAGCACTGTGAAGTGGTATATAAGTCTAAGTGCTATTGCTATTGCTATCTTGGCTATTTGCCTGCCTCTGTGCCCGCACAATGGAGGTGAGAGAAAGGGGGAACATACAGGTAGTTCTCAATTTAGGACCATAATGGAGCCTGCCCATCGTTGTCATAACTCCATGATGGTTATATAGTGGATCCCCTGATTTGAAAACCTTTTTTGAAGTGGTTACAGGAATGTGTTGTCATTAGGCAAGTCAGCGGTCTTCTGTGGGTTCAGTTTTCCCGGAAATTGGAAGCGAATGCCGGTTTTCAGCAAAATCCATAAAATAGGGTCACGTGACTGTGGGCCCTTGCAAATCCACCACAAATGTGGCCAGTTGCTGAGCTGAGTATCATCACATGACTCAGTACCAGAACATGCCCTTGGGGGTGGCAGCCAGAACTTCAAACAGTCTCTAAGCAACTGGTCATAAATTGAGGACTACCTGTACTTCTTTTTCTAATTCCTTCCTCTGCATTAGAGGGAGACAGCTGCACTCTAGCAGCCTTCCGTGTGGGTGGATACAGTTACCATTTTTGAAATCGGAAATGCAGCTTCTCAGACGTTTATGCACTGGGGACGGACGCACCCCTTTACCCCAATCTGATTTCACTTCTGCACTAGGGATAAAAGAATCCTACCCTACTCCCTTTCTAATTTCATGAGAACCTGCCTTTTATCGGGCAAATAGTCTCAACTTTTTCTAGTCCCTTTCGCCTATGCTTGTCCATCAACCCTGACCATGCTTTTTGTAGTCTGCCATCTTTTTCTTAATAATTTAGGCAACCTGTAGATATCAAATTGACTTGGGCATTGCCTTATACCCACTCAAGCCATTGGCCTTTCTAGCTGAATTGATTGGCAGAAAATTTCCTGTCTGAAAAGGACAAGTTTTCCCTATTGTTCTACCTCTCCTAAACCCTAGAACCCTTGTCCGTCCCCCTCCTTCTCCTTTTCCCCAATTTGAGATTAGAAACATTGAAGCCTTTTACTGAGGAGAGAGGCTTTTTTGAAATGCCATTAGTTGGAGTGTCAACCGGAGCATGTGTTCCCTTTGCTCATTGTTGCTTAGAGGGCCACCACATTTTCCCCAGCAACTCATTTTTATGCTGTATCCAACCCACATCATCACTATCTTTCCTTTGCTGCTGGAACCATTGCAAAGTTGAATCATCTTTTTTTACTTTTTATGTTTCCGTGGCTTCCCTCCTCCTACTTATTTCATCTTTTGGGAAAACATCTTTTTTTTAAAAAAAAATAACAGCCAGAGTTTCATTTTTGGGAGGATTGGAGGCAGGGTGATGGAATTAATCATCACCAGAGATGCAACAAAATGCATTCTACAACCTTCCCCTCCCGCCTGCCCGCCCTTTATACCTTAGCTGTTTTATTTGTTCTCTTATCCTCTTCATCCATGGAATAAGTTTGAAAAGACAGCTGAAGTGGCTACCCTTGTGAATTTTAACTCAAGTATACTATTGCTATATAAACATTTGGCTACCTCGGGTTTGGATTATTGTTTTTTTCTCCTTCCCTCAACCTTGGAATGTTTATGAGAAAGTTGAAACTGAAATACGTTGTGCCTAGACTGGTAAGATTTCCCCTGGGGTTTATGATTTGGAAGGGGGAAATAGGAAGAGGAGAAGGAAAAGTGACTAGGAATTTTTGTCCCTGTTTGTCACGTATAAACTTAATGCCTCTTCCTTTTTGACTAGTTTTGGAAACCCACCAGTGCTTTTTGTGTTCTCACTCTTATAGCACAAAGACATGGAAACACGGGGATGTCCAAATTAGCGATTGGGCAATGATGGAAGAAATGTGAAAGTAGGAACTCTTGTTTCTTTCAATATATGCAAACTCATGCCTTCCCTTCTCAAATTACTTAGATCAAAGTAGGTAGCTTCCAGTAAGGAAGTGCCCAAAAAGGAGCAAGCAGAACAGACTGACTATTCTGCCTTTAAAATAAAAGCCACTTCTTGATGCTTGTCTTTAAAGGAGGATCAAGACAACTTTGAAGAAAGCAAAATTGATGGGGGAGGAAGGGCCCAGTGTAGATTCTTCCAGTTCTCCACAGTTCTAGGAAATGTGAAATTTGGATAAGCCCAGAAACTACAGCCCCCCATCATGGAATAAATGTACTGTTTATGAATTTGTATAAAATTAAAGATCCTCTTAAAACATTTTATATTCTTACAGTAAAAGGCTAAACTGATATTTATATAATAAAAAAGGAAATATGAAGTATGTTTTTTAAAAAAAATGTTGCATGTGTGTCTTTGTCCTTTAAAAGGTAGGAATATCCTAAGCTGTGAGGAGAGTTGTGGTTCCCCTCCTTCCCTTGGTTAATGAGCAATTTGGTCTAGTGAATCAAAGCCACTGGAACGCTTTTGTCCTTTGAGCATAAAAGGTTAAGTAACTTACAAATTAGAAGTTAGGACTTCAAAAATTCACTGTTCAGCAAATGGTTCGGTTTGAAAGGATCTTTAGAACTTCTAGATTATCCTACCTGTACATAAGTTTGTACCTGCGGCTAATAGTTTTTAGTGCACTGTTGGGCAAATGCCTCCTAGCATAACAATGAAACGCACTGTCTCCGTTACTAAGAACAATATGTATTTTTTTCCTTTTAGTTTGTTACACAATAAGTTGAGTGAATTTGAAGAAACTGGGGGATGGTTGAAATATTTGTAAGCCAGGCTTTCAAAGAAAAATAAATGCCAAATTTGGATGTTAAAATAGGCTAAATTGGATTGGGGCGGTCCCTTCGTACTCATCTCTGACTTTTCCTCTTGATAGCAGTCTTTTCTTTACTTCTCCACTGAAGGTTTTTAAACAACTTGGGAGGAAGGTGAAGCCTTCTAGAGTATAATATACAAAATGCTAACTCCCCTCCCACGGAGCGTTTTCTCTCCCCTTTATTAATAAACTAGAGATGGCGGGGAGGGTAGAGAATTTGAAATGGTGGAAAGAGGCAAATCCATTGTTCAGTAAAGTTAAAAAAAGGAGCTGTCCTTGCTTGCTTGCTTGCTTGCTTGTTCAGTCATGCAGACTGAATCGTGCTGTGAGAGGGTCCCTATGGAAGAGAGGAGGGGTGGCTATTTTCCTTTTTTTTTTTTTTTAACATTCCTCTCCAGGCCTGGCTGTCTCTTAAGCCGCTTTTCCGCTGGGTGAGGGGGAGGGCCTGGAGTTCCTGTATATTTGCATTTCAAGGGCTGTCTGTGGTGCATTGAAGCAGTTCTCCAAAGCCCACGTCTTCCCTAACTCCTCGCTCCAGGTAAGTCTGTGTCACAGGTGTGTGTTGGGGGAAGCCAGTACTTCTCCAGCATAACCCTCAATGGCAGTGTCCCCATAATACCTGAACTTCCAGTGTTTCAATATTAGAAAAAAAAAGTAGACAACCATTTTTCATCTTTAAAAGAAGACAAAGGAAATGGGAAGAGGAAATATTTGTCCAGAAATTCTGTTATTGCCTGAAAAGAAAATGAGAACTTTTCCAATCTTCTCCAATCTTGTATCTTCCCAAATGCAGAAGTTGTGCTTCAACTTTAACAACAACAACAAAAAAAGATGTCAGGGTGGTGTAGGTGGATAGGGATTATGGGAGTTGAAGTCCCAACATAGAGGGTGCCAGGTTGAGGAAGGCTGGCGTAGACTGCTGCTTTTATTTAAAACCTTCCATGCTCTCTGTTGGGAGCTGGTCACAAAAGCTGCATTGTTCTCATTGGCAAAAGCCAGCACAATTGGATCTAATTGAGCCTGACACTACATCCATCTTCTTTTACTTGGAGGGAAGTGCAAAGGCTGCTTCTATCCCACCCCCTTGGCCTCTGGGTGGGAGTTTTTAAATTTATAATACATCTGTGGCTGAAGAAAATATGAAGCCTATTAAAATAAGAAGGCTTGACCTTAGCCACAGTCTGTCAATGGTAGACAATGCAGGACTCAGGGTTTTTTTTAAAGTCAACAGAAACAGTTCAGGCTTTTGTATAAAGTATGTTTAACTTGGCAGATCGGTTATATTTTAAAATAAATTGTACTGAATCTTAAAAAGTGATTTGGACTCGACAAGCTAGGAAGTTGTGGGGAGTAAATATACATACTGCACGTTTCATGAAACAGTTCCATGCCCCATTCATTCTGTGAAACACTCATTGTTGGCACCAGCAGTTATAACCTGAACAATGTTTTTTTAAACACGCCCCCCCCCCAAAAAATTTTTTTGTAACTTCAAATGTTGTACTTCTAGCGATAGTATGGTTGCTTAGTTGTTTTGTAGCTCAGTGTGTCACGTGTACCAGCCATTATAAACTACAATCATGAATTAGCACAAGCAAACTTAAGTCAACTGTGGCTTGGGTTCACTTCTCAGACCAATGTTAAATTAACCAGTTTATTAATCACATTTATAGACTGCTGCAGTCCCAAACTACCCTTCACAGCTCACCAAGATAAAAATACACCAAGCATCCACAATATAATTAAAATACAATAAAATATATAACAAAAGTATAAACCCAACCAAGATGGTATTATGGTCCAAATGCCTTTCCAAAGAGGGTTCTACCTGGGACTGTCTTTAATGACCACCTAGAACAGGGATTCTCAACCCCCAGTTCGTGGACCAGCCCTGGGTTTGTGGCATGTCAGAAACCAGGCCACACAATCAAGTGAAGCCTCATGCACAGGATGCAGGCAGCGTGCAAAACCACGTCCCTTCTGGACAGAGAGCTCTGATCTGTTGGAGCCACTCTCCCAGCTTAAAGAGTCACAGCTTCAAATGTTCCTACATCCCTAGGACCACTTGGCTTTTATTTTCCACATCTTCTCTAGTTCATCTTTCAGACCCTGGTGTTTCCCCAGTTTCTCATACTATCATGACTGCTGTCTTCTGCTCCTTGTCTACTAGAATGATGTCTGGATGATTGGCCAATACCTGCCTCTCCATCTCGATCAGGAAGTCCCACAGGATCTTAGTAGCTCTGTTATCCTCCAATTTTCTGTGGAATCTCCCACCTGGACTTGGGAGGATCTAGCTCAGATACTCCACAGATGTTTCTGTACACAATGCCAGCTACTAGGTTGTGCCATCCAGTGCATGCTGTTCCTTTCTGCATCTTACACCCTGCTACAAGCTTATGAATTGTTCTTTTATTACACATTCCATGCAAAATCAAAATGCCCCAGCCATTCTTTGCTGCATACATAAGTGTGCTCACCCACAGACATTTTAAAAATGAAATGCTGTGATATGGGGCTGAAAAATGGGAGATTGCTGCATAGAATCTCAATTTACTTGGGACTGAAATGTCCCCTTGAAAATGCAAGGTATAATAATGAAATAAACAAAGAAGTAGCTCTGGATCTGATGGCCTGAGCACCAGAATGTATGATATTACTGAATCTGATAAGAGGCAGTGTGGTGTAGCTGCTAAGCTGAGAAATCCTCGGTTGAAATATTTGGGTAGCCAACACTTTCTCGGCTGCGACACTGAGAATAAGTGGTCTAAAAATCAACTAAAGTTAGGAGGCCTATTGGTTATACAAGGGTTTCTCAACATTGGAAACTTTAAGAAGCATAGATTTCAAGTCCCAGAATTCCACAGCCAGCATAGCTGGGGAATTCTGGGAGTTGAAGTCCGTGTCTCTTAAAGTAGCCAAGGTTGTAAAACCCTGAGTTAATGGAGATTCTCAGTCATCCAGGTCATGGTTGTCCGAAAGGTACTTTTTCAAAAGGCAACTGGACTTTCTTTGTTTTTCCTTGATGACATTTCACTTCTCATCCAAGAAGTTTCTTCATTTCTGACTGAATGGTGGAGCATGGAAGGATTTATATTCCTTGCAGTCATCTGATCGTTAGCACTCTTTCTGGGAATCGTTAAGGCCACTTGGAGGTTTTTCTGTGCCCTCAGGGTCACCTGAACTGTACAAATGGGCCTGGAACCTTCTTGGAACTGCTGAAAGAGTACCTCAAAGAGGCCATCTACTTTAAGATTGAACAGTCCTTTCTCAACAGAGGGAGAAAGATACAACACCACTTATTTCCTGTTTACAACAAAGTCCTTTCATCAGTTCTAAGAAGGTTCCACACCCATTTGAACTGTTTAGGTGACCCTGGGGGCACAGATAAACCTCCAAGTGGCCTTAACGACTTCCAGAAATAGTGCCAACAATCAGACGACTGCAAGGATTATAAATCTTTCCATTCCCCACCCTTCAGTCAGAACTGAAGAAGCTTCTTGGATGAA